CTGCTGATGTTGGAGAGTAGCAGTTGATGATGCTGATGGTCTTCTGACGTGGAGGGCGTAGTCGTAGGATGGCTAGTCGGGGTGATAGGATCTCGTGCGAATCGACAAGATGGACGATAGACGGGTGGACGACAAAGCCAACGCCTCCCCAACGTTTCGTGATGGAACCTTCTCACCACGAATGATGAGCGTCCCATCATTCATCTGTCGCACGTCCTTCTTCCTGGACTTCGTTTCCTGCAGAGCGATGATGTGGTAGTTGATGTGCTCTGCAGCGTCGAGAAGAGCGTGGAGGTCGGCGTTTGTGGAGACTGTCCTGGCGTTGTAGGTGCAGAGCATGAGGCAGTTTCCGTGGCGTGTCGTCCGGGCAGACGTGTCGTTTTTGTCCAATCCAAAAGGCGCCCTGAGGACCCTGACATCAGTCTTGCTACCACCCGGCGCCGTAGGCGGGATCCGATGTGCAGGGTTTCTTTCTATTCTTCTAACTGGTAGAGTAATGAAATTTTTCCCCTACAAGAGCAGACTTGCTAGGCCAACTCTTGATTTCCACGGGGCGATCGCTGACCCCGGGCTTGGAGCGGGAAGAACCGCCTAGCGACCTGAAAACCAGACGGCGGTGGATCGGGCCTGGTCAAATTTTTGCATAAAAAATTTCCATAACTTCCCTCCCAGAAGCGCTTTGCAGATACCGAAGGTAGGTTTGAACTCATCGTTCCATGCTTCATAAAACGGTATACATTTTGCATGGAAACGTCACTTCGACCAAGTATCCATCCCTTGTAAGTCAGAGGATGAATGATATATGTTGTATATGTTGTATATGAAAAAAACCAGTAGTCGCAGAAGCGGTATTGCTTGCGTCCTCAAATGAACTATATATAGTACTTCCTCATATGAATCCTTTAGTCACAATCCTCAGTCATGGCGTAAAAACAACATCCACTACTCGTCGCAGTATTAGAATTGCTGGTCTCGAAGGTGCTACTGGTCTTGGAGGTACTATAGGATATGCCGTTTCTGGCACAGTCCGAGGGCAAGCATCTATTTTGAACTTCGCCTCTTAGCTTGCTTTTTATTTTTGGCGCTAATACGGATTAACATTCATGGTATAGTGGACCTCTTAAGTAGTTCATGTGATCCTTTTATGACACGTAAAAAGCTAAAACGCATCGATTAAGAGTTTACAACATCAGCTCAAAGTGTCCCTGTTTTTAATCCTACAAAAAAGCGGAGACTCGGAGTCAGATAGGGGAGAGTGAAGGAGGAAAGGGCAGGTAGTCGGTTTTCAACACTCGCTGTTTTCTCAGATAATCGTTTTCGTAGGAAAATGTATGCAGAGCGACAGTACCTATGGCGTGATTACTATACGCTCAACTGCATCTATTCGATACTTAGCCGTCGTGGAGTAAACGTGATGATACCTATGAACAGGAACGAACTAAAGCTCAATGCAATGTACAAAAGTTTCGTTTTGCGATTTGCAGTAGATTGTTTGCAGTTAATTTGAAATAAAGGCCTTGTCTCTTCATTCTTCTATCTTCTATCTACAAACGCAAGGGGTGAGAGGGAGGGGGTGAACGGAGTTGAGGGTCGCGCTGAACTCCTACCCGGGGACGGGGGTCGTATTCGGCGGTCGTATGCCATGCTCGACGCTGGTCTAGAGCTATTTGGGTAGGGTTTAGAGACATAATTGGGGTTTGGAGCTTAATTAGGGCTAGTTACAGTATGCCGCGACAGACTTCCGGAGCACAAAATGGGAGGGCTCCGGAGTCCAAAATGGGAGGGCTCCGGAGCACAAAACGGGAGGTCTTCAGAGCACAAAATGGGAGGACTCCGGAGCATAAATGGGAGGGCTCCGGAGCACAAGTGGCAAATCCCCGCTGGGGAAACCCCGCGGCTCTGCCATTTCTGCTCCGGAGGTATGCCGTCGATTGTCTAAGTAGTGAGTACGGCTTTGCGTTCAATTTTGGAAAATGGTAAGTTGAAGAGGTTCAGTGCTGTTGCGAACTGATATCATGCTCACTATGAACGAATACTTCCTTTTGGACCCAGTTGTCGCTGTGACGTAGGTCTAAATCATGAGATTTATTTTCTTTGATTGTCATGCTAAGTACAGCGTATCTGTAGTTAGGTGCACCCGTGCCGATCTCACAAATCTCGAGTCTTGGCTATGCTGGGTACACTAAAAACTCAATTCCAAGTGGAGAAAATTCTCGTATGGTTGCCTTCCAGCGATTGGCTGTGCTTTGCATTACAAGTACAAAGCACATTCCGACTTAGCTTCTTCACCCACAAGAATGGTTATTCTATCACAAGTTGCTTTATTAGGCAGTACATTGGGAGCAGGGTCAAGCTTGTGATGCGACTGTCGCAACGGGGTGTCGTAAGAGGGCATCTAAGGTGGGGGGGGGGGGTCGTAAAAGGAGGTATTTACGTTAAAATACTCTAGGCTTCAAAGGGAATTAAAAAGCAGACATTTAGTTATGTTGTTTACAATAAATCTATAAAATGTGGAAATCAGAATAAAAAAGATAAAAATCTGTAAAAATTCTCAAAAAAAAAACATTTACAAGAGCTCAAAACACTTTTGAAGGATGTATCATTCAATAAAAATGCTAAATGTACCGATTGTTCCAGAAATCTTGCTTCTGAAGCCTTCCTGAAGCCTCACACACTCAAGAAAAGCGCACATCTAGATCAACGATGACAATCAATACTCGTAAATCTTTTTGTAATGCAATTTATACGGCCCTTACAATTTATAGGTATTTTGAATAAGCTCTACTATTACTGTGCGAAATCTGGTGTTATTTTGTGAACTGTGGAATTTCTTATGATTTTATGTATGGTAGCAAAAGTGAGGAAAGGTAGGTCGTTTCTGGGTCGCATCCAAATTTCTTCGGAGTTATTGAAGCTTGTTGGCTGCAATTCTGCTGCAATTCTGCTGTAATATGAGGTCATCCTCCTACTTTCCCTCATAAAAATTGCAGGCTGTTTTATGATTTCTCTGTTAAGTTACAAAATTTTAAGCTCAAAAATCCCAGTTTTTGCTTTTTAGGATCGCATCTAAATTTGCGAGAGTCGCATCGAAATTTTTTCGAGCTTACTGCTCCTCAAAAGCTGAAACTTTTTCTATTGATAGTCTGCTATGCTACAGAACCTGTTCATTGCAGCCTCTCAGTCTTTTTCTGGCCTTAGATACGAATTTTCAAAGTACCGTGCTCATGCACGTTACATCGTTCTGGGTGGCGCTAAAGCGGTTTTTTTCGCGGAAAAAACTGTGGAATAGGTAGGAAGTAAGCTTCTTAGTCGAAAACATCTTTTGTTGTTCAAGAATGTCATTTTTTTTCTCCGTGCAAAAATTTGTGTCGCCTACGGGAATCGAATTTGCTGGCCTGAAGTATGCCTGAAAATTCAAAAAAAAACTTGCAGAATCTCAAACATTATTAAAGGTGTGTACATGTGCTACAGATGATGGCCGCACCCATTTGCCTAGAAATTCTGCTTCCGAAACCTCACTGAAGTTCTCACGCAGGTGTTTTTTAAGATTGACATTCGTTTATGCAGGTCCGCGAGGAATGTGGGCAGGGGAGCTAAGGGGGATAAATGGGTGAGGGTGGGGGGGGGGGGGAAGGGGAAGGGGGAGGGGTCGTACGGATGGGTACCTTCAAGGGGGGGGGGTCGTAAATGAGGGTCCCGGATCGCATCAGCACGCTTGACTCTGATTGGGAGTCAAAGTTCGGAAATGTCTCTTGTACTCCTAAATCTTAATTTCTTTAGAACTGTGCCACTCTTTGTCAGCACTTGTGGATCTATTCACACATAAACTCTCCAGCTGTCAATTCTGCTTAATCATTCCGTAACATGCGTTACTTTTCACCGTCTTCATGGGCTATCCAAAACGATGCGCTTTTCTAGATCTCAATTCTTTGCAGTTCTGTTACGTTTAGTAAAACATGTAAGCTGCATTCTTCTATTCCCATGAGATTTCCTCACAGCGCGTGGTCAGTTCCGATTAATGTTTAAGGTTTTAAAAGGAAGGATTAGGTAACTAAAAATTCGTTTAGCATTTCCTATCAGTAACTTTGCTTTCAACGCTTTGAAACAGTGTAGCTCTCGAATCCTCCAAATCTTGAGACTGCTTTCTTAGAAGCTCTAGAGTTCATGGTAATCCAATATGAGTGTCGCAAGCAGAGAAGTAAAGGGAAAAGCTGACTTGAGTGCTGCTTCATTATCAGATTGACCGAAATGCAGATAGTTAGTCCCGCCACGAATACGCTGTAAGTGGCGGCGCGTTATTGTAGCTGCAAGTTGCAACGACTGCCAAATCTGTTGTGTCTCTGCCAACTGCTACCTTTGTAGCTCAAAAAATCAAAACCGAGCAATAACAAAAAGTAGCCTATGGAACCCGCTGCAGCGCGTAGAATACGTGTGTAAAGTTTGGTCCGATTGATGCAGAACGATATACTCTATTCCGCACATACATACATGCATATGTACATACAGATACTCAGCTTCATTACAAAATACAAATAGACATTCAACTTTATAGATAAGCTATGTCCTTCTAAAAAAATGAAGACCTTAAGTACATGTTGTGATAAAATCTATATAATCAACACTTTTCTCAAAGAAGTGTTTAAAGATGATGGAAGCAAAAGCGTTCATATGTGTAGTTCTCTTGAAGACACTTCAATATTTCTAATTCTCAAGAATCCTTTATGTTTTATGAGTAAGCGGCAAACATTTTTATGTTGGTTTTGTGCATACACATATATGCACCGCGCGAAATTCGCGAGAAACGTTAGTGTGAGTTTCGATCTAACGGCTGGTATTCAACATGTAAAATTTCAAAGGTCAGAAATTAGAAGGTCATTTTACAATCTCTATTATGTAGACGGGGGGGGGGGGCTATAAGAGAGTGGAACAACTATCTTCGCGACAACAGCAACAGTTTCGCCCGCGGTTCTACCATACAGTTCTCATGAGAACGCGCAGTATTGCGAACCTCGCGAATCTCAGTTGTTTCTCATTAAGCGCCCAGATATGCATGTACTCAACAAACACGAATTTCATTCTTGACAATGAATGAAGACTTTGATGACGTCCACCATTTGTGCTCTTCGAAAGGCCTCCTCTGCCTCTTTTAGTTTATAATGCGCCTTTGTGAGCCCTGTCAAATCTATTCGTCTTGATGCGATAAGATTCAATGCTGTCGGATAGCTAAAACAGTACTAATTTGTTCAATATCAATGACCACCTTTGACTCACCAATTTGCATATCTGAAAACACCTCTGATGTCCACCTCCCTCAGGCAGGAGTCTATGATAGGTAGATCATTCCGCGGTGCGCCAAGACCAACCATGACGATCACTCCTCCTGAGTGGGTAATCTGAAAAGATCACTGATAAAAAGTCCCAGAGGTTGAAGCTTTACTGATTACCAAGATAGATGACTCCATGCAAGCTTGCGCTCCGGTGCATTCTATGGTAGCATCGGGTTCACATTGTAAGCAATCAATTACAGCTTCTTGAACGTCCAACGTCGACATGCCTCTATAAAGACATGATATATAGCTTTCCATAGGGTGTAGGCAGGTAGAGGACATTAGGTCGCCGAAAGGGAGGTGTACGGACATTAGCGACAAATACGCGCCTCTATGTACATATTAAGCTGTTAACATAGTTATGCAACTTCTTCCACAGCTTATCCCGGTATATTCAATTTTGGAAGTGTTGAGATTTTAATGTGAGCTATAAATGCAGCAATTTGTTCCAAATTCTGGTAACGCATGTAAGGACTACGGTAGGTGTACGGTAAAGTCAGGGATCGTTTCAGACCGTGACAGTTTCAGCTGTGGTCTAGAGGGGGTTCTCGACACGCTAATCATAAAAATCATACTTCTTTGGCACAAAAATGCTTTCTTACAAGGAAAGGATACTTGATCGAAGAGTGACGTTCCATATGAGACGTGCAGGGCTTTTCAACCTGAGAGTCGCAAGTTTCGCTTGCGCGGCTCCTCCAACGCGGCCGCCTCGCTCAGGCCGCGCGCGGCGTTTGCTGCGTATCGCCCGGATTTCGCCAAGCTTCAGTCGACGCACAGCCAGCGCCACGAACGCTGCGCGGACCTAAGCGTGGCGTCCTAGCGGGGCGGGTGGGACACTCAGGTTGTAAAGCCCTGTACACTACCTTATACAATACCGCTCACATTTTTTGAAAAATAGACGCGAATGTATGGACATATATGGACATGTACGGACATGTCCATACATGTATGGACATGTCCGTACATGTCCATACATGTCATACATTCGCGTCTATTTTTCAAAAAATGTGAGCGGTATTGTAGAGCATGAAACGCGGTTCCAAATCTTCCAAATCTGCTTTCGATATCTGCAAAGCGCAAGCAAGCAAGTGCAGGCAAAGCGCTTCTGGGAGAGGAGTTCTGAGAATTTTTTGAGGTAAAAATTCAGTGATTTGGCTGAGATAAAAGGAGGTGTTGAGGTCTTTCCGGCGCTTATAAGGAGTAATGATTGACATGAGTTAATTGACTTGAAGGTCTTTGTTTTATAAAACGCCCATTGTAGTAATCACGGGCCCACTTGAGCTCACGGATTAAAGTTTTGATAGGTTTCATTGCAGCGGCGCTTTCAAATTTTTGCACCAAAAAAGTTTCCGTAACTCCCTTCCCAGAAGCGCTTTGCAGATACCGAAAGTAGTTTTGAAATCAGCATTCCATGCTCCATATGATAGCATGCATTGTATAAGGAAACGCCACTTCGACTAAGTATCTATCCCTCGTTAGTGAAATCACAAAAAACCTCAATCTGCGTCAAATGAATATACAATTACCCTACATGCAAAGCCTCGGCAAATTCTGAGATTCGCTTTCTAGTTACTGACGGATGTTAGCGTCAGTCTTGCGTTAAGCTGCATTTTTCAACTTCCCGAGAGCGCAAAATGTGGGACAGTTTCTAACTGCCCTAAAATCTGACAGATAAGTCCACTTTTTTGACAAGAAAAATCGATGAATATGCACCCTCGTGCCGCCAAAAATCTTGCAGATAGGTCCTCCCATCGAATAAGTCCGTCTACAGATAAGTCCGGACTTATCTGTCGTCTTCGGAGTTATATGACAAGTTTTTAGGGAAGCTGTACCCTAAAATCTCACAGATAAGTCCTCATCGGATAAGTCCGTCTACAGATAAGTCCGGACTTATCTGACAGGCTTCGAACTTATCCAACAAGATTCCAGTGTAGCAATAATGGAAAGATAACGGACTTATCTGTAGGGTGTACATATCTGTAGCGGACTTATCTGTGAGATTTTAGGGATACTAATACTTTTCTACACAGCTCGTGAGCCAATCTCTGACAATGATTCTGCTATAGTTCTGGGTCGACATGTTCAAGTTAGAGTGCGAACGGTTTCGTCTTTGCTTATAATTTACTAAGATTCCAAATGGTGGTTTTGGAGAATTGCTTGGATCTTTTCTATTTCGCTATCAGAAATCAAACTATTTGTACTCGCTTGTAGCTCACATTGCACTACATAATGCTAAAGCTTGAGCGCTCATATCCAAAAAGAGAAAAGTTATGGAGGAAGTTGCAAAATTCCAACAACCTGATATTATAACTAGTGCCATTGTCCGCGCGGGCGGAGTCCATCGGCGACCTAGTCTCCTCTACGCGTGTAGGGGCCGATTTGCACCACCGTATGCTGTTAGAACATTTCCGCAGAGGACCGCCGTAGCGCGGGCTCTGCGGCGGCCTTTGCTTGAAGGCAGTGTCCAAGCAAATCTGGGCGCATGGGTTTTTCGCCTGGAAATTGATGAGGAGGTTCTAGCCAGAGGTGCGATAGGTGGAGCCAGGCCCCCCAAAAGTGAAGGTGGTTCCAGCTGCCACTGGCGGGCCAAAAGTGAAGGTGGTAGTGCCGAACACTCATCTCTCAAAAATTTCGACGGGGGGGGGGGGGTCGCAGCTACCACTGGCCAGCAAAAGTGAAGGTGGTAGTGCCGGACACTTACCTCTCGAAAACGTTGACCGGGGAGGGGGGGGGGTAGAGAGGGGGGAGCACAGGACGGACTTTGGGTCTGGGTTTTTTGGGTTTTTTGGCTTGGGTTTTTTTCGGTTTGGGTTTTTTTCGGACTTTTGGGTTTTGATTTTTTTGCTGAGACTGTAAAAAAGGAAATTAAGCAAAACGAACGCAAAAGAAAAGTATTGAGAGCATATTCTATGTAGTGGAAGTCGCCGTCGCCCACTGCGAGCACCTGGAGGCCATCACCGACATGGACGCATATACGCCTCAGCACTTTCTACGATAGAGCAGAGCTTCATGATGACTTCGGATAACTGAAGAGCTCTAACCCAACGGTACTCTTTAGGGCCAATAAGTGTGACCCAACGGTTCTCTTTAGGGCTACAAATACGATGGGTACAACTGCATAAATATTTTAAATAAACGTGTTAATGAAATAGTGTATTTGTGAGCGATACTCAACTAGACCTTATGTGTTTTATTAAGTACATTTTGTTATGACGTACTGCGAAGAAAGTAGGTCGATCCAGGCAGTAACCGCCGAGAACCAGAATTTCGAATGATAAAATAATGAAAAATCGTGAAAAATCATTCCACTGTTACAAATCGGCAGGCTGAAGACCTCCGCAGTTGTGACTTCATAAGTTTTGAAGGGTGAGGTTTGCCCTATCAGAATATGTCTTAGCTGTATCGATCCATTGAAACATCGCCGAGATCCAGGCTCTTAAAAAAGCAGGTAAAAAACCGTTTTTCAGCTCATAACTTCTTCAGAATTGCATAATTCATGTTGCAACTTCATAGGTTGGATTCTCCTCATCAAAAGCTTTCAAATGATATATAATATGTGGGGTTCACGCCTACCACGGTATATACCCAGGGGTGGAGTACCTCGCTTCACTAATTCTCCACTGGCGGCCTCCCGCCAGTACATTGAAATGGGCGGGGTGGAGAATTAGTGAAGAGGAGTCTCCACCCCGGGTTAGAGCCGCAAGAAACATTGAGTCCCCCATATATTATATATCATCTGAAAGCTCTTGAAGAGGAGAATCTAACCTATGAAGTCGCAACATGATTTATGCAGTTCTGAAGAAGTTATGAGCTGAAAAACGGTTTTTTACCTGCTTCTTTAAGAGCCTGGATCTCGGCGATGTTGTAATGGATCGGTACAGCTAAGACATATTCTGATAGGTCAAACCTCACCCTGCAAAACCTATAAAGTCGCAACATCACCCATCTTCAAAGTCCGGATTTATAAGAGTTTAAATGTCAGTTGTTATTAAGCAACCTAAAATTGAGAAGATTTTCAATGTTTTTCAAAATTCTCGTTGGCGGCCACTCCTCAAATCAAGCTGATTCTTTCACTGTCTGGTAGGACAACACTTACCCTTCATCTATGAAGTCGCAACTGCGAAGGTCTTCAGCCAGCAGATTTGTAACAGTGGAATGATTTTTCACGATTTTTCATTATTTTATCATTCGAAATTCTGGTTCTCGGCGGTTACTGCCTGGATCGACCTACTACATAGATATATGCTCTTAATACTTTCTTTTACATTCCTTTTGCTTATTTTCCTTCTTTTGAGCTTCAGCAAAAAAATTTTCAAACCCAAAAGTGAAGGTGGTCACCCTGTACCAGCTCAAAAGTGAAGGTAGGCGGAGAATCGGCTCCGACTATCGCACCTCTGGTTCTAGCTAAGACATTGCCCAAAGGGCAGCGCAAATTGCCGTAACCCTAGTACGACTTCGCTCACCTTAACACTACGTTCGCGCTGGGACCCATCCTAAGTGTTACGGTTACTGCGCGGCCGCGGAGTGTTTGGGGGATTCCTCAGCCGTGAATGAATCCTTTGCGCTGCGGTTTGGAATGTCTTAGCTAGATCCTCCTCATCAATTTCCAGGCAAAACATCCATATCCCGGATTTGCCTGGACACTGCCTTTAATAAAGTAAGGGAAAATTTGTTGTGCGCGACTTGTTTAGACAAGTCAGGCAGGGGTGGTACAGAACGCAGTCGTGCAAAACGGCCATCTCCCCTTTTTATTACTAGGAGTGGCATTTCTTACTTGACACAAACAACATGGTCAGCTCCAAGTGTCTTTGCAAGTGCTAAGCGAATTTGGTCCAAGTCCGTCATCACCACCTGTGCTGCTCCCATTGCTTTTGCTATCATCATACATAACGTTCCTATTGGTCCTGAAACATTCAAAATGAAGTGACTGTAGGGAATTTACCACCTGGAAACCCGGACCTGCTCCTTGCACCAAGACGCTTTGTCCCATTTCGATGTTCGCTCGTCGACAGGCATGAACACCGACAGACAAGGGTTCAAGAAGGGCAGCTTCCTCGAAGGTGACG